AAGTAGAAAGGGACCAAAAATGTTTGGACACACTATTGTGTAGCTATGCAAGGCCTACTTGGTATACTGGTTTGATAACTAAAGATGATCATGGTATAATGACTGAGGGAAGAACTCCATTTATAGGCAAGGTGACATATCAAGAAGGATGAAAAACTTAAAGCCCTGAATGTGAATGTCAGAAAATTGTGTCTGAACCCCAATTCCCTTCTTTGTAAAAAGAGAATACTTGCATTTTCTGTCTCCCAGGGCTGATGAGAGGAAAGCTACAAGCCCAATGGAAATTAGTTATCTATTTTGCTCCTTGATAAAAGGGGGTAACGGAGGATATTAAAGCTGTTCTGCCACTTTATCCTCTGCCAAATACTAGGGAGTAACTGGCACAGGCAGTTTGGTTTGCTAGAAAGAGCACTGAACCTGAAGTTAAGAGATCTGGATTACAGTTCCAATTCTAACCTACTAGCTGTGTGACCCAGAACAAGTCAATTAAGTGGAATCTCAGTGTCTTCATCTGCAAAATGGGATAATAAACTTTGTATTCCTTCTTCTTTCCACATATTTCTGTAGCAGGCACTAGCATTTTTCCAGTCACCTCCACGAGGTTCACCACCCCAGGGTCATCCTTGGCTCTTCATTCTCCACTGCCCATTTGCCAAGTCTTATCAATTCTGCAAACCATCTCCCTTCTTTCCACTCACAGCCTAGTAGGGGCTTTGGTCACCTTGGCCTGGACAATTACAACCATCTCCTCTGAAGTCTTCCTACCTCGAGTCTCTCCCCCTCCAATCCATCCTTCACACAGAGGCCAAATTGACATTCCTCAAGTCCAGGACTGCCCAGGTCACATCCCTATTCGAGAAGCTGCTCATGCCTCTCTCTTGCTTCTAGAGTAAAATACAAACTCCTTGGTTCCAACTTACCTTTCCAGGCTTACTGACACCCCTTCGTGAATTCTATGTGCTAGTCATATGGGCTACCAGTTGTTCCCCATAAACATCATTCTACCACCAGCCTCAGTGATTCTGATCCCCATACCTGAAATTGACTTCTTCCTCACATCAGCTTCTTGGAATTGTTAGCTTCCTTCAAGGTTCAGGTCACGTGCCACCTCCAAGAGGCCTTTCTTGGTCCCCTCCATGCCAAGCCCTGCCCTCCAATACTTTATATATGGATGACAAATTTGTTTAACTATGTGCCTGTCATTTCCACCAAAAAAGTTCCCCGATGATAGAAATTATTTTCCTCTTTTTTTTTTTTTTTTTTGGTCTTAGTATGCCTGGTATCTAGCACAGGGCCTACTCCCAAGAGGTAGTTAATACCTGTTGAATTGCACCTAAGAGACATAAAGCTCTACTGTAATGGGAGTGAGTTATTCTGAATCTCTGATCATTTATAATGGAATCCAGCTCGTTTCCAATAAGAGGAGAGAACACTCAGATGTTAAAAGGTTTACACTAAAGCCAAGTTAACAAGCATTTATTAAGAGTGCCTACCTAAGTGCTGGGGATACCAAGAAAGGCAGAAATGGCCCTAGCCCTTAAGAAGCTCACCATCTTTTGCAGGAGACAGCAGGCAGAGAACCATGTACAAAGAAAATATATCTAGGATAATTTGAGATAATCGGAGATGGAAGGCACTGGCATTAAGGGGGATCCAGCAAGGCTTCTGGTAGAAAAGACTTTAGCTTCAACTTGAAGGAAGCCAGGGGAGCTGGGAGGGGATGATGAAGACATTAAAAAAAAAAAAAAAGACACCAAAGTGAGTCATCCTGACCCCAGAGGGCAGAGCTTTCTGCATAGGGAGAAACTGATCAAGGGTAGATTGGTACCATCAGAAGAAACTCAAAATCAGTCCCCATTGCTAACTGTTTTTGTTCCCCAAATCATTTCACTAGGGCCTGACCTGTTTTATAACCTCCTGTGAGAACTGTAAATAATGTGGCCTCTATATGTATGTATGTATGTATGTATGGATGGATGGATGTACAAGTGTGTGTGTGTGCGTGCGCACGTGCGAGTGCATGTGAGAGTGAGAGAGAGAGACAGAGAAAAGGGATGGAAAGGGAGGGGAGAGAGAAGGGGAGGAGTGAGAAAGAGGGGGGAAGGGAAGAGAGAGGGGGAAGAAGGGGAAGAAGGGAAGAGAGAGGGAAGGGAGGGAGAGAACAGGAGAGGAGAAGGGAAGGGAGAGGGAGGGGAAAGAGGAGAGGGAAAGAGAGAGGGAGG